GAATGGGCGGCTACTTTAACTTCAAGATTTTCTTTTTTCTGGGTGAGCATATCTGCAGGTTGGTTTTCTTCTACCAGTTGCAGTTAGTAGAGGTCATTTACTGTGAAATGACTAGCATGCAACATGTGAGTAAGAACTTTCAATTGTCTCTTTTAAAAATTACATTTAGGTAAACACCAGTACAGCTTCTTGGCATTAGTGCTTTATTGTTGGTATACATTTTGTGTGGGAGTAAACCATAGCCTGTTCCAACAGTGTGTATGCATTAAAAAAGTATGCATTAAAAAAAAAAAAAATTCCAGTTAAGATGTAAGAGAGAAAAGGAACCCTTTCATTGCCTTTTAATTACAACTAGGAAAAATTAGCATTCCTCCAGAAAGTGGGAAAATGAACTGAGCGAAGAGTGCAAAAGTGGGTGTAAATTTAGTAAAATTTCTATTAATACATTGATTGTACATGTTTTGAAGTGGAGGTAAATCCTAGCATAGTTGGCTCTCATGTTTATAGAGATTCATTCTAAATTTAGCATTCTTTTTGAAAGGTTTGGTGGTTGGTCATACTGTCATATATATAGGATGTGCATTTAACATAACCTACTAAGAAACAGGAATCCTGCATTAAATGGAATCTACATATTCTTCTTGGAATAATTCTGATAATTTCCACAAGTAAGACCATAAACATTTTGGAAACTTGAAATTACCATTAATATTTATTGGAACTCGAGAACCTGAAAGCTTTTTCCTACTAAAATTAATGGGAAGTAGGCATTCCAGGTTCCTAAAAATCTTGTAAATTCTTAACCCATATGGGCAGTGAAAAGCATTAGAGTAAATGAAAGAGAGATCAAAGACAGATCAATTGTGTGTCTTGTTCATTCTTCTAAGATGAGGGAAAAAAAAAACCTCTTCTGGGAGAGGTTTTTTCATTCAGTATATTTTTGTGTCTTTAAAATAACAAATTAAAAAGAAACAAGCAGGCACATGACAGGTTCACAGCTTCAAGAAATCAAAATACAGAAAATTTCAAATTTTTCAGGACGTAAAGACTTTGATTCATGACAATGCTGTTCAAGAATGTTGAGAGATATGGAAAGAAATTATTCTTTCCTCATTTGTGCTATCTTTACACGTGGAAAGTTTCCTGGCTCAAGTGATCAGTACAGATTATTGCCCTAACTCTGAGAATATCAAGGATTGTAGCCACTTTGCAAACACTGTAATACCAATGACCAAAACCTACATGTAACATACGGGTGTTACTAATGGTAAATGAAAGAAGAGAAATCAACTTTGCTCTCTGTCCTGTCCTGAATAAACTTGTGCCCTACTTATACCCTTAAATTCTTAAACCATGGAAGTTACCATTTAAGTAGTAGTATGTGAATTTGTAACATGGTTTAAATTGTAGTTTTCCATGAGTAAATGAATTTTTTTTTACTAATTCTTCTTGAGTGACTAACTACTCGTGCACAAAAATAATTTTTCTGGATGTTTTTGAAATATTACAGGAATTAATCGTGCAGTCTATACTTGGACAGAATTCCTTCTAAAGTCAATGGCACTTGTGCCTAATTGCAGAATGTGAGAACATGCCCAAGAAGAGCATTCTATGCTCAGAAAGCATTTGTCTTTATATTCTGCCATTAGTCCAAATACAAAGTCTGGCACTGCTTTTCCTGACACATGCTGCTCCACTAGTTCTATCTAGAAACAAGCTCTTTTCTGTGTAAAATATTTTTGCTCTTTCAAGACAGTATAACAAACAACACGAGGAAAAATTATTTTCTCTCAAAACTTCTTAAATTGAAAATGCTGTAAATTTACAAATTCTGACATATGCCCTTTAAAATTTGTGCCTCTACTGTTTTTATTTTCATTATACATTACAAGTTATAGCCATAATGTTTAAAAATATTCAATTCCAGCAAAAATATGGCTTTTAACCAAATAAAAATGCAAAGCCAACTTGCTCTAAAATCCATCTGTTTTTCATTTTCTTATAATCTATAATCAGGAAATACATTCATACATGACATATAATTTTTGCGCTTTCAAGTGGATAGTGGAATGCGATGTTCTGCACACAGCCACATCTAAATTGATAATTGTCCAGACAGAGTGTAGTTTTAAAGTATAGGATGAAGGAAGGTTTAATTTGTATATTAGAAGTCTTATACTTTTTTTTTTTTTTGCCTCTGAATGTAAATGAGGCCATTCTCTTTGGTGGATTTATCTGAAGGTGGGACAGCTGCCTTAGAGCAGGCCACAGCTTTCTGAGTAAAGAGGATATGGCTTAAAGAGCTGGTTTAAATGCAGACTCTTCTTAACTGTAAACCGCATGCGTGCATTCATCATTGATTTTGAAATGAGAGGTTTCTATATCATTGGTTTAAGGTCCACAGTCTTGCATTCCTGAGTCCACATTATACCAAAGAATAACAATTTGGTGGCTGGAAAGAGGAATGGCTCCAAAATGCTAGCTGGCATAGTATGCCATGAACAGCAGAAATCCACTGGTAAAGAGAAGATTGCAGTAGTTCTTAAAAATAATTTGGTGTTCTAAAAATATAAATGTAAGAAATGTTATCACTTTTCAAAATATTTTACATCAGTAGGTAAACAATATAAAGGTCGGACGAAAGTTTCTGAAGAGCATAGTTTGATACGAGTGCATTCTTTCTTTTAATTTTTAATATAAAATTTTATTAAGTAAATCTTCTTTAGGAGATGGGAGTTCTTTTTTGTAAGGGTTTCTGTTCTCTGAAAATCACAACCATGGAAATAAACGTACAGATTACAGTGCATGCTGTTCTGTTAAATATCTTAGGTTGTATATTGTAACTAAAAAAAAAGAAATACACAGCTTCTTCAAACAGCTTCATTTTCACTCTCTGAACAAATGCTTATCATACAACAGATTTCACAAGGCAGTTTTACTTCCAGTTGATAAAATAGCTCCTATATGGAACCAGCACCAGAGAAACTCTGCTTTTGATTCAGTTTCTTCTGTTGATCGCTTCTCCACGTCATTACTGCTTTTCAGTGCTGTTTGTCAAAGATCGTCTTTTAAAAGGCACTGGAGTTACTAGGAGGAAATATTGTTGTATTTTCAAAATGCCCCTTCTAATTTTGCTGCCTCTAGTAACACGTAGCATTAGTTAGAACATAGTATGTAGCAAATCCATGTTTAGAGCAATTGTTCATTTAAAACAGGCCAACTGACACAAAATGGAAAATTCTTGACAGTGTTCTGCTATTTTAGCTTGATAGGTGTAAAATATAATTTTTTTCATTAACTCATTATATCTCACTGGCTGTAAGATATTATTAAGGAAATATACAAGATTAACTATGAAGAATATCTTTATACAAAATCTCTGAAGTTGTCTGAGTGCTTGTAAGTTTTCATCTTAATTCCTTTTTGCAAACACTTGGGAGATCACTATAACAAAAAGCATGAGAATAAACAAACCAGGCCAGACTGATGACTAAAGTTCCCTCACAAATTTGAAAGTCAGGCACTTTGTGATACTTTTCCTGTACTCTAAGCCTAGTGTTCGCAGTTCAGGGTCTTCCAGAGCCTGAAGTGGTGGGTTTGTATTTGATAAGCTTTCACATAATTTTTTTCCCCTATGTACTTGCTGATCTGATAAATACAATTAGCCAATGTGCTTGTGGATTAAAAATGTGATTTATTGTTAGTCATGCTTGGACACACTTTGTTATCCTAACTAGAAAACAAATTCACTCTCGTCTATTGTAATTTTTATGCCCACTTCATAGACTTTATCAAATTTAGTTCCATAATCCATTTATGTGCTTTAGGGCTGTAAACCCCATTTGACATGTGAAAAAAAAAAAAAGAAGGTCCGGGGCTTATAACTCATTGGGCTCTGCCACACTCACTAGCTCATCTTCCCACGCTGTTTCTAGATTGTGTGTCTCAGTTTGCGAGCTGTGAACAGAAGATGAGCCCAGAACAGAAAGTCTCTCCTCCCCTAGCACTTGTTTTCTTGGTATTTATCCATGAAAGTTTTCTCTTTCTGTACTAGTTTTCATGCTATCCCCTCTCTGTAAGTGCACAGTTTCTGTATATCTCCTGAGCCTGTGCAGACAGAATTTCAAGGCTACACTGAAAAGTCATCTCTTTCCCCAGACTGCATGTGGGTAAGAGGTGAAATTAGGCAGATGAAAAAGGAAGGTCTCATTTTTAGTGGAATGGTAGGTCAGTAACCTCACAGATACACAGTTGTCAGTACTATGTGGTGAGAGAAGGAAACCCTTTTCTGAAAAAGGCAAATGAAGCATGTGCCTGTCAGAATGGTTCCTGGGGCCTGCAGAAAGCAGCAGAGTGATGAAGATGAAAGATACAGTGTTATTTTCCTAATAAGGTTGTGCTCTTGCTCCCATTGACTTTAGTGTTGACAGAATCAGGTCCAAAAAGTGTGGTGAGAAAGAGCCAAAAAACGTTTAAGAATCTTCCTAGTCCTCCTCCTGCCTTTTCTGGAAATTATAGCCTTGCTATACTCATCCATTGTTTAAAAACAAAACAAAATCATGACCTGGAAAGGGCTGAGCCAGACAAGACAGAATCCTCTGTAGTTGTTGAGAAAACACAGCATAGCTTTTGCATTTTTTTAAGTCGTAAGATTATCTGACTTTCCTGATCCTCTTGTAATGCAAAAGTTAGATCTTGGATGTTCTGAGTGCACAGTGTATTGTGCTGTATACTATTGTACTGTAAACGGAGCTGTATCATTAAGGTAATTTCAGCACATCACAGAAATGCCAGCTGCCATAAGAGAAAGCATTTTAAGCCTGGTTGTTCCAAATATGGCATGTGGTTTATTTTCATATAAAGATACATGACAGGGCACAGGTATTTGCCTCGAATTGTTTTATTTTACATTTTTAGTGTTCAGTCTTAAAAAATGTGTTGGACTTCATAATTCTTTTCTCTCTCTTTTTTTTTCTTTTTTCTTTTTTTTACATAAGCAGGAAATGGATATGGCAACCCTCGCAACTCACCAGGTCTGCTGGTCTCACCTGGCAACTTGAACAAGAATATGCAAGCAAAATCTCCGCCTCCAATGAATTTGGGAATGAACAACCGTAAACCAGATCTCCGTGTGCTTATTCCACCTGGCAGCAAGAATACGATGCCATCAGTGGTAATGCATTTTCAAAGCTTTTTTTATCTCCTTCAGATAACAGATATTTAGGAATTTCAAGGCCTGCTTAGGCAACTAAAATCAGCAGAATAACATTCCACATTCTTGCTTGTTTCGTCTTTCTGTCTAACCTTAAGTCTTGACATTGAGCTGAGGATGTGGGCAGAGCCTGTTCAATTGCTTTTATTAAGTCATATTTACTTCCTCCCTTTTTTCTATTGAGTTGCAAAATAGGAACAGTGTCCTGCACAGTCTAAACTTCTGCAATCTCTTTCCTAGTAGCTGGAAGAGCCTTTCCTGGGTTTGTTATAAAGGCTGAGTTTAACCCTGAGTATTCCTTAACCTACTATGTTTCTCTTAAATATTTAGCCACACAGACTTCTCAGCAGATGGAAGATTAACTACAAATAATTTAAATTGAATAGGGCAGGATAAAAGGAGCATGAAACTGCCATATCTCCTGCCAGGATTAATGAAATCTAGGCAGGCTATTATGCTGGAAGAGGAAGGTGCTGTGTGCATATCTTGTAGTTCTCCTCTGAAAGTCTGTTAGTGGTTGCAAGTAAATCTTTCATGAGTGATTTAACATTAAAAGTGAGCTTAATTTAAAAAAGGATCTTGATGGTAAATTTAAGTGACACTATAAACACATTTTTCCATTATGTAACAGACACTATTAAAACAACTTCCAAGTTAGCTACTTCAGCTTGACACATAATAAATTAACTTCGAACGTCAAACTAAAACCCCCCGTAAATGCAATGCTGCCTTCTGAGAGGATAACTAACAAATAGTCTCCTACAGGGCAATGCTGAAAGTCAACCAAGGCAGTGACAAGCCGTCTGCATCAGGTGATTTATTCCAAGGCCCTTAAAACTGATACTTTCCAAGGGATTCTGTGAATGGTCAGGTCTCTTGAAAGCAGGTGTAGCAACACAGTCTGCAGCTACTGGGGCTGTGGAAGAAATAATGAATTCTTAGAGAGAGCCTTGTGCTGAAAACTGGATAGATTGTCCTCGCAACTGAGACGAACATACCATTAGAAAAAGGACAAAGAAGAGATCTATAAAGTGTTACATTGCCAAACTGTGCTCAGAAAGTGTTTAATTTGCTGCCCCTGTCAGATAAAGCTATTCCCTAGACTAGAAATCTGTGTCCTGGTAAATATTTATGTTCACTAATTTTTAATGCTCCTTTCCTATGCACTCAGTCTGAGGATGTTGATCTGCTTCTGGTAAGTGGTAGTGATGTTCATCTTAATAACAAGCAAAAGAAAATCAGTTCTTTTGTATGATTGATACTTGTGTAGGCAAAGTGTTGTTTGAAGTAAAATGGGAAACCTTACCGTAAATATTTTGTGAACAAAAAGGTCATTATAATTTTTGAAATATAGCAGTATGGAAGGCCAGGTGCAACTGTAGCACATATTCAAATTATGCATGCTAGAATAGAGCTTTCTTATTGCTGGTGCTTTGAGAGCACCTAAACTTGTGCTGTTGAAGGTAGTGCAGCCTTATGACTTTTTTTTTTTTTTTTTTTTTGGTGGCAATCTGGTCATTTTATCCTGCCACTCACAGGATTAGAGTTCTCTAGTGCAGTTTTTACAGTGCAACATGTAGTCCCTCCGGAGTTAAAGATAAACGTGTAACTGCTGTGCTACCTAAGGCTCTTGAAGTTCGTTTTATTGCACAAAAACGAAGTAGTCGGAGCCCCACCTGCTGGTAAGAGTTCAGTACTCAGCAATCACGGGGTGCCTCTCACTTTCAAAGCACGAAATCCAGTAAGACTGGATTTGGGGTTTTTTCTTGTACTTTTTCTTTTTTCGTTTGAGTAAAAAGAAAAAACAATGGGAATAGAGTTTACATATTTCATTAGTTTTTTTACAAGATCTGTTCTCCTACCCACAATAAAAGCAATTTTACTTGTTACTAGTTCAGTTACCTAGGAGATACTGATGTAATGGGTTACTATGGTGACTACTGATCTCTTGAAGGCTTGTAAATGATAGGGTTGGCAGAGTTCATAAAAGCCACATGTTAAATGATTAATTTCTAGAAATTTGTACCAGCCCATATTTGTCATGCACAAAACATACCCAGAAAGCTGATACACTCAACTGACTTAAAACTAGTCAATAATATGTTTATTTTACTTACTTTAAAAGAATCAGAGGATAAATAACTCCCAGTCTGCTCAGTCATTGGCTACTCCAGTGGTTTCCGTAGCAACTCCTACTCTACCAGGGCAAGGGATGGGAGGATACCCATCAGCCATCTCAACAACATATGGTACTGGTGAGTATGGGTGCAAGATGTAAAGGCAGGGGGAGGGAGCAAGGTGCTGACAAATGTCTATCTCAGTACAAATGAATTAGCTAATGTTTGTTGGGAGAAACTGAAAAAATCATAGCTGATATGTTTTTGCACTGCATTTACTTATTCCGTATCTGTCACTAACTTGGGACATATCTATTTAAAAGTTAGCTATATTGTTCAAAAAGAAAACTGCTTTCATAGCTTTCCTTCATTGGCTTTAGTAAAAAGTGTAACTTAAAAGACATTTCTTAAACCTCAATACCACAGGTAATTTCGTGTAGTTGAGTGTACCTTCCTAAAGTCATAAAGGGAGTGGGAGCAAACAGTTTCACTGACTTCAAAATGGAGTTCAATAACTTTGTGGGCTATCACACAGTTACTTGGGAGAGAATATAAATGAAGCCTCAGGAGATCCTTTCCAGTTCCCGTTGCACACTGCTGCTGTATAGAGCATGCTGTCATACAGAGCCGATGCTCTTAGAGAAGACGTGTGTCATTCAGACACAGGCTGCCTGCTGAGCTCTGCGAGGAAGGCTGTAACCGAAATATTACTATGTTTTTCAAGTCTTTGACTGTGTCAGAATGCATCTGTAGTTATGGTGGATATACAGGTTAAGAATGCTGTGGATCTTCCAGATCCAGAAAAGCCCTTCTAAATTACAGAATAATTATTAGTGCATTATTTACTCCCAAGTTAATGAGTTGAGGGAAGAGGAAGGTCTACTTTTTCTGCTGCAACTTAATGTGATTGGTGTAATTAAAATTAAAAGGCTTACAAAGTGACATGAAAATTATGATGCTAGTTATTGTTTAATTGCTTCCTCTTTAATTATCTTTTAATTATTGTCTTGTCTGTTTTCAAATCTAGAATATTCTCTGAGTAGTGCAGATATATCATCTCTCTCTGGGTTTAATACAGCCAGTGCGCTTCATCTTGGTTCTGTGACTGGCTGGCAACAGCAACACCTACATAACATGCCACCATCTGCCCTCAGTCAATTGGGGTAAGCAGCGTTTTCTTTATTTTATGGTTCTACAGTGTCTTCAGTCTGCTTAGTAATCCCAAATCTGAAATATACCAAGACAATATATTAGCACATATTTACGATGTGTAAGACCTCAATTACCCAGAACTGGAACTATGTACTTAATGAAAAGTTTGCTAGGTAGCTACAATGAAGTATTCTGTGTCCATGATATTTTCTCAGTACTGTAGTAAAGACTACTGTTCATGTTTTACTCTTTATTTCTTTAAATAGCATTTTAGTTCACTACTAAAGACCAAACTAAACACTTGTATTCTGCTGTTGCTGTATTTTTTTGTTTATGCTTTTTATTTCCAGTTGCTAGAGCACAAACATTTACACTAAACTTAAAAATTTTCTAAATATTTTTAAGCAAGAGTGACATAATGAGATTTGACCTCAGATTAAGCCTTAACCCTATATAGTAATCAGATACTCCTTTCTGCTCAGTTCTGACATTCAAGTTTGATTGCTTTGGAAAAGTTTTCTACAAGTGAATGAGATTGTTAGGTCTAAAAACCATAAACCCACAAAGCTTGGTGTGATTTGCCTATGTTTAGGAGGCTAGGTATTCATGCCCTCTAGTGGCTAATTTCAAGACATTTGTTCATGATTGGTGAAGGACGCTGCTAAAACATTTCAGAACTTTCAACAGTGTGAAAATTCACACAGGGAGGTCGTCTAATGCATTCTTGAAAAAGCAACCTATTGGTTCATGGAAGTGATCTTTAAGAGTATGATTTTCAAAAATCCTGGTATCTGCAGTTTCTATTAAGACTGTAGGCATTCCTCAGCACACAACATGTAGCCTAAGATACGGCAAGATATGTTTGGATTTTAAAAGTTTTCATTATAATAATAGAAGCTGAAATCAGCTGGAGTGTATTTGTGAGGAGAAATTTAGTTCACGTATGCTTGAAAAGTTAACTCCTTTTTTTTTTCAGAGGGAGATCTTGCACATATGCACTAATTTTTTTGCAAAATGATTGCCATAATGTGAAACTATTTAATATAAATGTGGCATAAACTTAAATAATCTCCTTCTAATTTATCTGGCCACTTTTTGTAACTTACTGTAATGTTTTTTTACAGTCTTTCTTACAGATGGTTTGGGTTTTTAAAGGAGAGCCATACAGGTGTTTCGGAGGAAATAAATTTTTAAACCTCATTTCTATATAAATAAGCATATATAGATGCTAACTATGCAAAAAGATACAACTTAAGTAGTTGCTGTGCTAGAAAAAACAGTCTGAAAAGCTTTCTTTTACACTGCTTCAATTTTCTTTTTTTAGTTTGGACTGTTTCTGGGGCAACACACAGGCTAACTATATAACTAAAGACATAAAGTCTCAAATAAACTGAAAACTCACATGTTAGATATCAATGTATAACCTTACAATAAGCTGATTGTTTTCAGTGGTGTACCAAAGAATGTAATAAGGCTATTTGGTTAACCAAAAAAGTATAAATTAAATCCTGAACTAACTACATGCCTTTTCATATATGTCACACATGGTCATCTGTTTCTAATTCACATCACAGAATGTTGAAGTATAATGGCTGTAGCTGGTGGAATGCATTCTGAGTTGATACTTTTATTATTATTCAGTGATTTGTAAATTAATTGAGCTATGAAAGCTGCTTCACTGACAGTTCTGGAGAAGTCTTCTTCTATCTCTGCAGAAAATTATAAGCATTTATATTTTTTTTAGTCACTTAGTTCTACATGCACCTGTGCTAACTTTCAGATTAGTTGAAAAACTTGAAATCATACAGAACATATTCGGTCCATGCCCACCTGAGCTAGAATTTGCAGGAAGATTAAAACAATCACACAAAATTGTAGTCATCCCCAGGTATTTGGGAAAATACATCTAGAAAGGATGTGACAACCCAAATCCCTGTGCTGTGAGTGAGGTCAAATACTGGAAAGATCTGGCAACTGTGGGATGTTTGTTGATAACAGTAGGCTGTAAAGACCTGTGAGAAAACAGAGTTACTGGAAGACATATCCTAGTTCTCCAGTAGGTTTTCCTTTTCACTAAAGCTTGTAGGTGGAAACCAGTTCTGTTTCCTCCACATGTGGCAGAAGAATATGGTTAGTAATAGAACAAGATATGGTTAGACACATTAGCTTGCTCCAGATAAGTCCCCAACAATTTCAGCAACACTGTCAGAACAATCTTAAAGATAATTGGAGAAGATCTCTACAACCTAACTCTTAACTCTTCATGTTACCTCTGCAATTAGCAACCATACTAGTGCCAGTGGGCTTGAGGGAAAATGCCTGAGGACACGGGAGTAGCTCACTTTCCCTCTCTGTGCAGCTTTTGGCCTTTTGCTGAGCCTGGTAAATAGGATAACAATGTAAAGCATATTTTGATGGGATTGGGACATTAAAACAAGTCAGACTTTTCACCTTTTTAGGTTAAAAGTGAAATAGTACTTTAACAGTATTTTAACTATGTCTATATCTGGAAAAAATACACAGAAATTCTATTGAAAATCAGTCCCTTCCAAAACCATGAGATTTTTTCTGAATATTGCTGTGATGTGTCTTACAGAGAGGGTTACTGTTTAAACATAGTCCAGAGGTCTGCCAGAAGTTGTTTGCTGCTAATCAGAAGGGAAGTCCATTCCAAACTTTGAAATAAGTGATCTAAATTTTTTAGGCCCAGGTCCAAGATGTGGAAAATGTTCTCTTTCGTCCATGTTTCCCAGTCTAAGAGAGAATCTTTTCATCCTTAAGTATCACAGGTGAAATTTAGCTTTCCTAGAATGCAAGTGTAAACATAGAAACAGTATTTCATCTGAAGATCTCAGTATAGATAACTGTTTACATAAAAGAAACAAAAGAAACGTCTACTCACCTGAAGAAAAAATTGTTCAAATTCATGCATACTGTTGACTTGTTCTGTGACTCTTACATAGCAAGCTTATTACTTATAGAATCATAGAATCATAGTTAGCAACAATTAATTTTGATTAGGTGATAGCCATAGCTAGATAAAGGCAAGTATGCTCCATTGAACCATTCTTACTGAAAAAAAGTAGATGCAGTGACATCATGTTTTGTGAGTTTGTATCAATTCTGCCAACTTCCTTGTTTTGAATAAAAGCCTTTTATATTTAGGATTGAGCATTTTTTCTTACGTCACCATTGCAAATAAGATGTTCCAGTGATTCAGTTTCATATTTTTCTTCATTTTGAAATTTCTTTTTAAAGTGCAGACTTTAACATGTGAGAGCTAATCAAAATATCTTGACACAGAAATTCTTATTCTACTTTTACATTGATCAAAAAAATTGAAAAAACAACTTTGCTTTCACCTGAAAGAAAAACATGGGAGGGAGGAAGGTTACATTGCTAGCAAGTCAAAAATATCCTCTATTCTAGTTACAGACTAGCACATCACTAAAGTTACATAAGTAAATTTTGCCGTGAATTTTCAATTGTTCCTTGTATACTATTATGGAAAAAAATTATATGAAGTGAGGAAGTAAACTAATTTAGAGCAGCAAGTGTGGGCATAAAAGAAAAGGTGTGTGAGGCTCTTCCATCAGTAGACTATCATGTTCATGCACCTTGTCACCTACTCAGATGTGCACTTCCCTCTGTGCATGCTGAGCTTCCATACCAGTTGGAGATGCAAACAGAGGGAGACACACACAAAACTGATCTCACTGCTATCAGCAAGAACTAAACCCCCTGGCAAGATCCTTGCATCCTGACTTGCTTCCCACCTCTTGCACAGCAGAGCTGTGTAGTTGTTCAGTGTTCAATGCAGATAGGAACCAGCATTTCTCCCATGTGGCTGTTGTACTCTAAATAAACATCACATTTGCACTATATTGGTCTCAGTAGGAATGTCTGTGTAAAATTAAAACATTAATTTTCTTCGTTGTCCCCATAAAATAAAATAATGAAATGTTTTCGTACAATATATGGGAAAAGGTGATTATGTCAACATGAGTGGACTGCATGGCACTTAGTGAGTGCTTATAATTATACACAAGCCTTTGAAGAAACTTGTTTTATTTTCTCTGTGGATTTTCCATATTCACTTAGTGCAGGTTTCAAATGACAAAATAGGGCATACCTAGACCAAAACTACATTATTATTATATGAAGCAACAGTGTAAAATATGCTTAGAAACAGCTGTTTCTACACTCATACACACACATACACAAAAAGAAATCATTTTGTAGCAGACAGAATTCTAACTTTTTGTATTGCAGCTTCTATTCTAAATAGAGGTCAATCCTCACTTTAGGATGTGGGTCTAAAGACTGCACCTACATATGTCCTATTTCACTGTTCACATCTATGTGTAACAGTAGGTTTCCCTTGTAATTGACCGTTTTATCTTACGTGACATTCTCATTAAAATGTTTAAGTTAATGTAATACTGTAAATTACAGTCACTGAAAACCAGATAGTTTTAGCAGAAAGAGATTATTTTTAAAAATAAAATGAAATTGAATGATGACTCAAAATAATAGCTTTAATGTAGTTATATTGTTTTAAACCTCAAAAAATTAGTTCTGACCTGGCAAAATTACTTTTAACCTTTTTTCAGTTTCCAAAAAAGTGTTCAAAATGCAGATCTACCTAAAATATTTTTAAAACTGACACAAATTTGTATGCCAGGTATTTAAATAACCCTGCTGATGAATCACAAAGAATCTAAAGAAAAATCTATAGAGATGCATTCTCCTACTCACTTCTGAAAGACTATTAAAAAGCAACATTGCAGTATAGCAATACTAGCTCTGTTTCATTGAAAATGCAGCTTGCCCCTCTAGGTTTGTAGCTTTGGGGGCTGTCACACAACAGAGGTCAGGTATTTTCCATGTGAACAAATTTGACTGAATATGGTTGGTTTTAACTAGCATGGGATTTTTAGCTGTCCCCGTGCCTTTGCTAAGTGACGTGTCATCTGCTCATATCAAACACTTCTAAAACAAATTCCCAGTCTCCACCATCCTTTAGTACAGGACTTTCAGGTTTAGCTATAATCTTGGCATCTAAAATCATATGTAATCCTATCATTCATACTAAACTGGCAGCCTGTTTTCCCAGGTGAAGTCCTGGAATCTCCTAAGCAACTGAAAAATGAAGTCACTGGAATGAAAAGGGAAAAAAAAATGAAAAATAATTTATTTTTTATTCTTGTTGGATGCTTTTCAACAAGCTTTCAGTAAAAGAGACTATTTCACTGAATTAGAATGATAAAGTCTGATATTTAGAGTTTCTTGTATGTGTTAATTTAATGGTTACAAAAGCAAAGACGATGTCCTCTTTGCCAAAAAAAAAAAAAAAAAAAAAAAAAAAGAGTCTGCATTTACTACTGTGAGGGCTATTACTTATGAACTCTGTGACTTAGGAGAGGGTTTGCTGCAAAATTGGCACATTTATCCATAGAGGAATGAGGGGCAGATAAAAGCATTTGGAGGTAGAACATCCTGTTTTCTCAGTTTTCTAACAAGGTTCATCCATTATTAAAGACTGCAATAGTTCCTGCTAAAAGCAGCTGATTTCACTCAGTATTGAAGCCATATAGTTCCGTTTTGAATGTCAGAAGAAAATAAAACATTTTTCACCAAAGTTGTAGTAAATGTCACTTAAGTAAAGCTCAGCTCCCAGTTGGTGAGATGTCAGGAAAAGTGAACTTCAATAAATGAAAAGACTAATTCTAAACTTAATTGTTTCTTCTACATGCTTGAAAGTTACTTCCAGATCCCAATATTTCTTCTGCTTCCAGTAGAAATGCCTGCACATGCCTTTGGGTTTAAAATCGTATGAGGCCAAGAGGTCTGTTGCCCCTACTATCTTCAGTCTCCCCCTGTATAAATACTCACAAGTAGAAACCTTGAAACTGTGTCTCTGGGGTTAACACTAACTTCAGCCTAGCAAATGGTCCTTGAAGTGGAACGTAATGGGAACTGCATGTCCAGAACTCTTATTTTAATCACAAAGAGAAAAGTCAGGTTCTACCAGGAGGTGGTGCTTTTGTACAAAACATCCTGCAGATGCAAGTGATCTCATTTCTCCCATTGAGATAAAGCGCACTACAAGCATTCACTCTCCTCCCTGCCTGTTTCAGCTTTTCTCTGCCACTACCTGCCCACAAAAATGCACTCAAAATAGTTGTGTAGCTTTCCTTTGAACATGTTTCAGCGTAGCAGTTTCTCATGGTGCTTGGAGCATCCTCTGAGCTGGGCTCTCCTACAGACAAACAGTACAATCCTCAGACATCTTCCACTACTCTTCAGTTTCTCTTTGGTGGTTTATTCAAAAGCATTCTGGATTGAGTTATGAATTTGTAGATTTATACCATAAAATCATGTCTAAAGCCTTGTCTGCCTGTGATACTTTATTAATGTCAATCCTAGGACCAGTAATTTCAACTCTATTCTGAAAGTTGTAAAATCTACCTGGCCCAAATTTTTGTTTCTGTTTTGCATCTGAAGTCACATGTTGAAATGAACACCCATTAACATAGTTGGGTACATTCAAACTAATTGGGTTAATCCCAGCAGAAGCCCATGCCTCCCCTGTCTCAGCCAGTGCATACACACACACAAGCATTAGTTACGAAAAAACCTGCAGGTGGTTCCAACAGTGCAAAGGCTCGCCTTCCAAAATTTGTTGCAACACTTTGGTCAAAAAAAGGAGAGAGAGAGAGAATGAAAGCGAGACCTGCTGTCAAACCAAGGGCATATCCCACTCAAGCCAACCGTGTTTGTTGTTGTGCTTTCATCTCTTTGAATTTGTGTTTTCTGCCCAGACAACACTCCTCCTGCTCTCCACGTGCTCTGGTCCTGCTCGAGCCTTTACACTGGTGTTTTGTGTGAGTGTTTGTGCATATCTGGGGGCTCCATGCCTCCTCCGTCTGTAACTGGGTTTCCTTTCCTCCTACAGAGCTTGCACTAGCACTCATTTATCTCAGAGTACAAATCTCTCCCTGCCTTCTACTCAAAGCCTCAACATCAAGTCAGAACCTGTTTCTCCTCCTAGAGACCGTACCACCACACCCTCGAGATACCCACAGCACACGCGCCATGAGGCGGGGAGATCTCCTGTTGACAGTTTGAGCAGCTGTAGCAGTTCCTACGATGGAAGTGACCGAGAAGATCACCGGAATGAATTCCACTCCCCCATTGGACTCACCAGACCTTCGCCGGACGAAAGGGAAAGCCCCTCTGTCAAGCGCATGCGGCTCTCTGAAGGATGGGCAACATGATAACATTATTACCTATTAGTTGTTTTTTTTTTTTCTTGCAGTGTGTGTGTGCTATACCTTAATGGGGGAGGGGGGGTCGATATGCATTATATGTGCCGTGTGTGGAAAAAAAAAAAAAAGTCAGGTACTCTGTTTTGTAAAAGTACTTTTAAATTGCCTCAGTGATACAGTATAAGGATAAACAGAAATGCTGAGATAAGCTTAGCACTTGAGTTGTACAACAGAACACTTGTACAAAATAGATTTTAAGGCTAACTTCTTTTCACTGTTGTGCTCCCTTGCAAAATGTATGTTACAATAGATAGTGTCATGTTGCAGGTTCAACGTTATTTACATGTAAATAGACAAAAGGAAAACATTTGCTAGAAATGGCAGATCTTTACTGAGAGAGAAAGCAGCTGTTATGCAACATATAGAAAATGTACAGATATTTTGACAGACCCAGTGGTTGGGTGGCCATGAAATGATGCTAGAAAGAGACTGGGTCACCTGACATAACAAAAATGCTCACAGACATGGAGGCATATCATTAAGAGTATGGCACTCAGTTAAAAAGGATCAAAACATTTAAAGAGGACCATACTTGTAAAAATGTCAATTTTGAGGGCTAACATATTTAATTTTAAAAATTCTGGGTCTGCATCACTTATTAGATTAAAAAAATATAAAAATATGTACATCACATTTTGCTTATTTTCATATTAAAAAGTAAGACAGAGTTTGCAAAGCATTTGTGGCTTTTGTAGTTTCCTTAAGCCAAAATGTGTTCTTTTTTCCTTGATAGCTTCGCTAATCTTTTAAGCAGTCCTGAAGAAACAAACAGAAAGGACTTTTTGTATAGAAAGCACTACCCTAAGCCATGAAGAACTCCATGCTTTGCTAACCAAGATAATTGTTTTCTCTTTGCAGAAGTTTTGTTTTTTGAAATGTGTATTTCTAATTATATAAAATATTAAGAATCTTTTTAAAAAAATCTGTGAAATTAACATGCTTGTGTATAGCTTTCTAATATATATTATAATTATGGTAATAGCAAAAGTTTTTGTTATCTTAATAGTGGGGAATTATATTTGTGCAGTTGCACATTTAACTATTTTCTTTCAGTTTTCTTTTACTGGGTATACATTTTACAGATCAAAGTCAGCTGTTGAAAGACTGATCTGTAAAAAGTCAGAATTTACCCATGGTGTAACAGCTTAAATCATTTTAATACAGCATTTTACAATCAGTTGGGTGAACTGCAATCCATTGTATATACTGATTACTTCTTTCATGCTGTTTTGTGCATTGTAACAAGTAAAGGGCCCTTCTATTACTTAACGTCCTGCGTATCTTGTAGTTTTCCATGGGTTAAATGACAAAGTGGCATAACTTGGCCCTTTCTCATTAATGAAGCTGGTATTCTGCCTGTCAGAGTTGGATGTACAGCTCTAACGGCTGTCTGTTATGTGAGTGCAGGTGAATATTTGCAGAAGCAGTAGGGAGAGTCAAAGGGAGGGGTCGGCACAAACATGCCTATTATAAAGATTACTCCCCTCTCTCACAGATTTAAAACTCTTAGAGAGATCGCCAGTTAAAGGACCACTCAAAAGTCAATTCATCGTACACAGCCAGTATTGGCCATCGGGTCGCTGGTCCCCACGGACCTCTGTGGTCATGTCATCTCACAGTGGACACGTTGTTGAGCAATGCTCCCTGTGTATTCACGCCCAAGCAAGATTTGTTTCAGCGTATGCCATCCAGATTTTCTCCTGCCTCATACTGTTCCTTTGACTAAAACAGCTTGACCAGAGAGAATGTATCACTTCTTGAAGTTCCTCTTTGTCCCTCTTGTTTATTAGAAGAAAATGATATATTCAAATGTTTCAGTTTAACCTTCCTGTTGAAGGGTAAAAGTGTTTAAACAAAATGTTAGTGCCATAGTAAAACCTCCTTTTTCAGAGTCCTTCCAACTCTTACCTACATACATTGACACTATGACAAAGGATATAGCTGCAACAGCTAAATCAACGGAGAGTATTTTGTTAAGGGAAACCCACACTCTGTTTCCCGCCTGTACCTGCAGTTGCTGTGCACTGCTCAAGGATAGAGTGTACCACTCTGTAGTAGAGAATGATGAACAGACTACAGTGTGCATTAAGACATACACTTTTCACCTACCATGACTTTGTAGAAACCTGCCTTACAGGCACTGTCAGCTGTGCAGGGGCTAGTGCGTGATCTGTAAAATCTTTAAGCAGAATACTATGCTGCTAACACATCCATCTTGTGTTGCAATCTGCAGGGTAAAGAAGAAGATACGCATGTTTAAAAAAAAAAAAAACAACAAAAGAAGCAAAACAAAACAAAAAAAAAGGTAAAATGGGGCTCATAATTAATTTTAAAACACAAAAAACCTGTTTTCGAAACCACTTTCTTCACCTTCAAACGAATCTATACTCATATTCTCTTCTGAGAATTATAAACTTTGGTGTGTCAAAAATATGCAAATATATCACAAATGTACCTTGTCATTTCAAGAAAAAATACAACTTTATCGGTATTGTAGTAGAAATTCGTCAGTGGGGAAGGGGATTTGGTCTATTGTTATATGAAGAATAGCCATATTAATAGTTTACCTTGCGATTTGCCTCAGCAACGCATGAAAAAGGAAAGTTATCATATTTAACGAAGATGCAGTGTAATATATTACTGCAAGTAACTAAGCAGAAAGTAGCGTGAAAAGTATTGCCTGGGCAATTTATATTAACTCTGACAGTGATTTTTATATAAACACAAGTAGAACAGAATCACGTGAACATAAATGCCAGTCTTCCCTCTTGTTCCTTCTGCAGAGGGCAACTAACTTATACTGGCAAAATTGTGGGGGATAATGCATATTTGCAAACTGATCTAATGATAAGAAGCACAACTTTGATTGTGAAGTCACTTTCTGTAAACTATAACTGTCTACCTTTCTTGTTTCTTTATCTGTACCTTACCATTTATTGTATTTGCAAAGCTAATTTGGGTTTATTGTGTGATTCCTTTGTATTTAAGGAGTTTGGGGCAGAGCCCTGAAAGAGTATTAACATTTACTTTACCTTAACCCATGCTATATAATGTTTTAGGCAACATTCTTAATTGTAAGTTCAAACACCTGAAGTGGCATTCTAGACATCTGCAAGTATTGTTATAGCTAAGCTAACCTCTATTAAAAGATGTTGTCAGTTAGTGTTTAATTGCTGGTGACAATTATATGATATACCCTATCTGCACAACCTGTATATTGTATGCATTGAGCCATTCGCAGTAAAGCTTTTGTCATTTCAGTGTTTTTCAAAAGTTGTGTTTTATAACAAAATGGCTTATATTTTTCCCAGAAGAGGAATTTAGCAGTTTTTAATGAATAATATAAAAATATCTGTTGTCCTCAGATCTTTTTCAGGTAAAGCTAGCGTAAGAATAAAAGAACTCATAGACTGTTTTCAAGGATGTCAACCCTTTTGTATTGTATGTGTTATCCTATATACCCTCTTTTATCTATAGTTCTAACAGAGCTGTTTTGTTTTCCTTCTACCTTCGCCTTGAAGGTAAATGCTTTGTAATTTTTTAAAAGCCACTTGAAACCTCAATAAAGGCTGTTGCCTAAACATGGCATACTTCATCTGTTCCTGTTTGTGCCATCTGCTGTGATGTCGTCAGTTATATGGCATTAATTTCCTGCCACTACAGGTCTCTTGAAAGACTGATGGAACATTGGTGTCTGTTAGAATGCTTCAGACTGTAGATGTAATAAAAGGCTTTTGTTAATATATTTTAACCAAAGATGTGGAGCAATCCAAGCTTTGAGCCACAGACCTTCTGCATCAAAAGTATCTGTTGGGTTATTTTCATAATCAGGTGTTGCATTTCTACCTTCCCTGCTCATACCTCAGACTGATCCGTACCTCAGTATGATTCGAAAAAGGTCAGTTAAGTAACTCATTTAAAAAAAAAATAAAAACATTTAAAATGCAGTACCAGAGTCCTTTGTGGACTAACTACTATCAGACCTGGGTTACAGCAGGCATTACACTTGGATTGCTTCAGATGGTTTGTTGTATCCTTTTTTTTTTTTTCTTTTTTTCTTCTCTTTCATGGGGATTTGCTTCCATAAAACAATGGTGATAACAAAATAGCTTGTAAATGGGAGCATACAAGCATTTGCAACAAATATTAAAGTAGAGGCTCACAGCGGCATAAGCTGGACTTTGTCGCCACTAGATGACAAGATGTTATAACTAAGTTAAACCACATCTGTGTATCTCAAGGGACTTAATTCAGCTGTCTGTAGTGAACAAAAATGGGAAAATTTCAAAAGATTCTCCTGCTGGAAATAAGGTATAATTTGTATTTTGCAGACAAATCAGTAAAGTTACTGGCTTTCTTAGTGATACGGTGTCTGTGGTGCATTTTTTTATTGATTTAGATAATGTTCCATTTTCACTGTTTTGCACTGTAACATGTGAAAGAATGAGCACTTTAATGACCAGCAGTTCCCTCAAGGTACTTCTACCTGTCACTTGTGATTGCTTAGAAAGTTAAGCACCTTTTTATGGCACCCTGGACATATTATTGCCTCGCAAATGTTAATGCCCCACCACACATCGTCCCATCAAGTTAGAGAAACTCCATTACTGCTCTGGGAGTGTCATTTTGAATGGGACTGTCTGAATCTGGCTCTGATGTCTGAGCTAGCAGAGGAGCTAGGTGAGATAAAGCCTGGCTTTAGGTACTTAGTCCCTGACAGGAAATCCAGGCTCCCATTGTGTATGTGCCCTGTAAATTCTACTCATGGAGAGAACCATGCAAAACCCTAACAAAAAAAAAAAAACAAAAAAAACCAAAAAAACAACTGTGTCAAAATGATGTATTGTTGGGTCTATGCTTTACATAAGTTGTCTAACATGATAACTCCATAGAAACTGTGTCAGAATTAATCTATTCCCTTTTGTGTACTTTTGTTGCTGTTGTTTAATATTTTTCCCCACTAACACTTATTGTTTTGAAGTTTAAGAATACAAGGATCACTTTATTTCAACGAGACGTCTTTTCATGCCAGAGGCAAACAAGCTATTAATAACTTAAGGTGCTTGGTGAATGTGGCGATTTCAAAAATGCCATCACAAGGCCTAGTTTCTAAATATGTTTATGAAAGAAAACAGCTGTGCTGTTATTTACCCGTTATTTTTAATTACAATTTTTTTTTGAGAGAAACGTTTCTCATATTGCAGTATTGGACACGACATAATAATTAGATGCTAAAAGTAATATTAAATGTAATTGGTTTTACTACATAATTTTTCTCAAGCAAATCACTTTTTGTCATCATTGGCAAATATTTCTGGAAATGTGGTCAAAGTGTAATACTCTCTGAAATCTTAGAAAATTAATGTCTGGGAGTCCTTGCTCCTGCAATTAGTCATCTGTGTCATCATTTATACTGATAATGCTGTACCTGCACTGGAAAAAGAATTACTTCGCAAATAGTCTGTTATATACTCTGTTTTGTTATTTATTACTCCAGAAAAATAACCAGGCACATACTGATTACTTTACTTTAGATTGTATGAACTATGTAAACAGTTTTAGAAATTATGTGTTACAATAGAAGTGGGGAGGTCACCAGTTCCTTAAACAAGCTTTCTCACTTCAGGCTCACGTATGTCATTCTGAAGAGCAATTGTAAAGTGTATGGGCTGAGATAACTAAGCCACATACCTTCTCCATCCAAAGTGTTTGCTTTCCCTCCAATTTTTTCTTCTTTTCATTAGCAAAAATCTTTACCAAGAATCCCAGGCTGCATCAAAAGAAGCATGGCCAGCAGGTCAAAGGAAGTGATCCTCCCTCTCTGCTCTGCTCTTGTGAGACCCTCCTGCAGTGCTGCATCCAGCTCTGGGGTCCTCACCACAGGAAGGACATGGACCTGTTGGAGCGGGGCCAGAGGAGGCCATGAAGATGGTCAGAGGCTGGAGCACCTCCCGTCCAAGGACAGACTGAGAGAGTTGGGGTTGTTCAGCCTGGAGGAGAGAAGGCTCCAGGGAGACCTTCCAGCACCTTCCAGTGCTTCAAGGGGGCTACAGGAGAGATGGGGAAGGACTCTTCATCAGGGGGTGTAGGGATAGGATGAGGGGTAACTGTTTCAAGCTGAAAGAGGGGAGATTTAGACTAGATATTAGGAAGAAATATTTTCCTGTGC